TAAAAACATGCAAATGTGAGTAGATTGATAGGTACCGCTCTGGCGGGAAGGTAACGGCACTCCATGCAGTCATGCTGGCCACATGACCTTGGAGGTATTTACGAACAACGCTGGCTCTTAAGCTTAGAACTGAGCACCACCTCCCAGAGTCGGATACGGCTAGACTTAATGTCAAGAGGAAACCTTTACCTTTACCTTAATTACACTATGTAACACGTTTTTTGTTCCTGGGTCATAAATGTCATTTCCTAATTGGTTCTATCATAAAAACATGGGGAAAGTTTATGAAACTGCAAAAACCTTGTCTTTGCGCAAGTTTTTCAATGAATATTTCATCAAGTCTCAACCAATTCAACCCAGTTTGCAGCAGCCACAAAATGAAGTTTCTGGAGTAGAACAACTCCTTTCAAAGTAAGTATCGCACAATTAAACAGGAAATAACACTTTCAAACCAGGAACAGAAAAATTTTCAAACTTTGTTACAGAGTGTTATGAGTATCATGCACCTGGCAAACCCTCGCTTCCATCTTTTTTTTGGGATCTGAAGGCCCTTCCAGACAGACCCTATATCCCAGGATCTGATTTGTTTTAAGGAGTCTGCTTTAAACTGGAGTATACGAGTCCTCACTGCCAGATAATCTGGGATAAACAGAAAACCTGGGATCAGATCCTGTGATGTAGGGCCTGTCTGGAAAGGCCCCAAGTCATGTGTGTATATGTTTCTGTCTGCCTGCATGCGCTAAAGAGTGAATGTGCTAATTCTGATGTCAATGTGCCAGCTTGGCATGCTACTTGGCTTTGTGTGTTTGGGAAAGTTGCACAATGTTTATTTGCGAGTCAGCCAGCTCTGGCAACACAGACATGAGTCATGTATGAGCACACTTGCGCCATAGGAGGCACATAGAATCACACATAAGCACCATGTGTTGGGCTACTTTTGCCACAGAATCCCTGCCCAGGGAGGAGAGCGCATTGATGTGCCGTCTATGGGTCACGCCAGACCTATAGCACAAAGTCCTCCTGGGTGTATGTTGTGCCACTTGATAATGCTATCTTTGCACATCTTTCCGACAGATTTGGGTTCCTTCCAACACATGTGTTTGCAAAGAAATCTCCTTCAGACCTCAATTCCAACAAATTCCAACAAATATAGTTTCCAAGCCCTCCAAAAAAAGGGAAATTTGCCCACTTTCCTACACTAAAAGCCCCTTGATCTGAGATAGGTTTCCAGGCAGGGCCTGAAATAGAACAATTTGGGCACTTTCCCCTCCTCCAAAGTTTTCTCATGACTCAGACAGGGCAAGATGCCTGATGAACCAAGAGAAATAGGATTTTGGGAAAGGTTGTGCAGCAGAAAGGGTTTCCCTTTGGCCTCGAAGTCCCAAAGGTTTTTGATTTCCCCACACAACTAGGTTGCATTCAACGTCAACCTAAAACAATGCTAATGCCTGCAAGGAGAGATTGTGGTTCTGGATGCTGGTAGGGTTTGGCTTTGGGAGTGTAAATGCCCTTCAATCAAACCCATGAGGAGACTGTACGCAAGTCACACACTCTCGACCTCAGAGCGGTCTCCGAATCCATCTTGCCAAAGAAAGATTCGGTCTTGCCATAATAACGCAGAGAAAACATTCAGACGAGTCTGAAGAAAGGATTCTGGAAAAAAACAGAGTTCCAATCCTTCTCGGCCATTGGTTTGCCTTGGGCAAGTTACATTCTTTCCCTCTTGGAGGAAGTAAACACCAAGCTTTGGTTGAAGAAATCAGCTTCTTTGTCAGACTGTTTATTTGTGGGGTTTTTTGCTCAAGGCCCCTTCAAGGGAGGCAAGAGGTTACAATAGTGTTTCCTCTTTCATGTCTATCTGACACCTGGGGAGGCAAGAGGTTAAAATAGTTTTTTTTTTTGTCGTTTGTGCCTCATTCTCATTGGATTCCCTGTTTCCTGAATTGTTTTGTTTCTTGTCTATCTGACACCTGTCTATAAATCAGGCATGGGAAAGCTTCAGCTATCTAGGACTTCAACTCCCACAATTCCTAACAGCTTCAGGATTAGGTTCTTGTGGGTTTTTTCGGGCTATAGGGCCATGTTCTAGAGGCATTTCTCCTGGCGTTTCGCCTGCATCTATGGCAAGCATCCTCAGAGGTAGTGAAGTCTGTTGGAACTAGGAAAAAGGGTTTATATATCTGTGGAAATGACCAGGGTGGGACAAAGGACTCTTGTCTGCTGGAGCTAGGTGTGAATGTTTCAACTGACCACCTTGATTAGCATTTGATAGCCTGGCAGTGCCTGGAGCAATCTTTTGTTGAGAGGTGATTAGCTTCAGGATTAAGCAGCTGAAGGTGAAAAGGAAGGGACCTGAGGCTGTTAGGAATTGTGGGAGTTGAAGTCCAAAACACCTGGAGGGCCAAAGTTTGCCCATACTTTGTTTCTAAATAAACCCTCGAAGGAACAGTAGGGGCTCTGCAGGTCCCATAAGGAAGCAGCTTGAGGGAGGGCTCTGGGTCCCAAAAGCTGAGAGGGAGGACTGCTGACCCCATGAGGCACCTGAAAGACCACCAGCTCTACCAGCCACCGGAGGTCCCATCAAGCCCCTGAGGGAGGACTACTGATCCCTAAGGGTCCTTCCCCACAATCATAGAACCCAGAATTATCAAGGCAGATAATCCACAATATCTGATTTGAACTGGGTTATCTGAAGTCCACACTGCCATAGAATCTAGTTCAATATGGATTTCATACAGCTGTGTGGAAGGGGCCTTACAGAGAATGCTTGGTTCCATGAAAGGAGGACTACCTGCCCCATGAAGCACCTGAAGGATTGCCAGTCCCATCAAGCACATGAGGGATTACTAATGTTCCCAAAAGTCAATAGAGGGAGGATTATTTGTCCCATGAGGCAGGTGAAGGATTGCAACTCCCATCAAGCATTTGAGAAGGCTATGGATCCCATCAACCCCCAGACGGAGGAGAGTTCGTCCCATAAGGAAGTCAAGGGAGGACTATTGGTCCCACAGAGCACCCAAGAGAGGACTACTTGTCCCATGATGCAGCTGAAGGATTGCAAGTCCCATCAAGCACCTGAGAAGGCTATGGATCCCATTAGCCCTCGGAGGGAGGAGTGCTGATCCAACAAGCAAGTCAAGAGAAGACTATTGGTCCTACAGAGCACCCAAGGGAGGACTACTTGTCCCATTGGGCAGGTGAAGGCTTGCAAGTCCCACAAGGAAGTCAAGGAAGGACTCTTGGTCCCACAGAGCACTCAAGGGAGAACTACTTGTCCAATGAGGTAGGTGAAGGATTGCAAGTCCCATCAAGCACATGAGGGATTACTAGTGTTCCCAAAAATCAATAGAGGGAGGATTATTTGTCCCATGAGGCAGGTGAAGGATTGCAAGTCCCATCAAGCATTTGAGAAGACTATGGATCCCATCAAGCCCCAGACAGAGGAGAGTTGGTCCCATAAGTCAAGGGAGGACTATTGGTCCCACAGAGCACCCAAGAGAGGACTACTTGTCCCATGATGCAGCTGAAGGATTGCAAGTCCCATCAAGCACCTGAGAAGGCTATGGATTCCATTAGGCCCCGGAGGGAGGAGTGCTGATCCAACAAGCAAGTCAAGAGAAGACTATTGGTCCTACAGAGCACCCAAGGGAGGACTACTTGTCCCATTGGGCAGGTGAAGGCTTGCAAGTCCCACAAGGAAGTCAAGGAAGGACTCTTGGTCCCACAGAGCACTCAAGGGAGAACTACTTGTCCAATGAGGTAGGTGAAGGATTGCAAGTCCCATCAAGCACATGAGGGATTATGGATCCCATCAAGCCCCCAAAGGGAGGAGTGCTAGTTCCACAAGGAAGTCAAAGGAAGACTATTGGCCCCACGGAGCACCCAAGGGAGGACTACTTGTCCCATGAAGTAGGTGAAGAATTGCAAGTCCCATCAAGCACCTGAAAAGGCTATGGATCCCATCAAGCCCCAGAGGAAGGAAGTCAAGGGAGGACTCTTGGTCCCACAGAGCATCCAAGAGAGGACTACTTATCCCATGAGGCAAGTGAAGGATTGCAAATCCCATCAAGTACCTGCGAAGGCTATGGATCCCATTGAGCCCGGAGGATGGAGTTCCAGTCCCACAAGGGAGGACTATTGGTCCCACAGTTCACCCAAGGAGGGATTACTTGTCCCATAAGGCAGGTGAAGGATTGCAAGTCCCATCAGGCACCCGAGAAGGCTATAGATCCCATCAAGCCCCAGATGGGGGAGAGTTGGTCCCATAAGGAAGTCAAGGGAGGACTATTGGTCCCACAGAGCACCCAAGAGAGGACTACTTGTCCCATGATGCAGGTGAAGCATTGCAAGTCCCATCAAGCACCTGAGAAGGCTATGGATCCCATCAAACCCCAGATGGAGGAAGTCAAGGGAGGGCTATTGGTCCCACAGAGCACCCAAGAGAGGACTACTTGTCCCATGAGGCAAGTGAAAGAATGGCATCCTAACAGGCAAATGAGAAGGCTATGGATCCCATCAAGTCCCGGAGGGAAGAGTGCTGGTCCCACAAGGAAGTCAAGGGAAGACTATTGGTCCCACAGAGCACCCAAGGAGGGACTACTTGTCTCATGAGGCAAGTGAAGGATTGCAACTCCCATCAAGCATTTGAGAAGGCTATGGATCACATCAAGCCCCAGACGGAGGAGAGTTGGTCCCATAAGGAAGTCAAGGGAGGACTATTGGTCCCACAGAGCACCCAAAGAGGGACTACTTGTCTCATGAGGCAAGTGAAGGATTGCAAGTCCCATCAAGCACCTGAGCAGGCTGTGGATCCTACCAAACCCTGGAGGGAGGAGTGCTGGTCCCCCAAGGAAGTCAAGGGAGGGCTATTGGTCCCACAGAGCACCTAAGGGAGGATGACCTGCCCCATGAGGCAGGGGAAGGCTTGCCAATTCCATGCCACAAGGGTATGGATGCCACCAAGTGTTCCTCTGTGCGTGGGGGCAGAGAGTGCTGCTTACCTTTGTGCTTCTTCCCCTCGGCAGGGGGCGCCCCACTCTTCTGCGGGGGCGGGGAAGGGGGGTTCTGGGGCGCCTTCTTCTTCCTTCGTCCCCGGAGCCAACTGAAGGCGCGGCGGAGGCTGGAGGAGCTTGAACCCCGGGTCTGAGGCTGCTGCTGCTTCTGCTTCTTGGTCTTCTTCTTGGCCTCCTCGCCCTCCCCCTCCTCCTCTTGGGGGGCGCCTTGGCCGGCCATCGCGCGCCCCCTCCCCGCCTTTGTCCCCTTCCCCGCCAGGAGGAAGAGGAAGGAGAGGGCAGAGGGAATGAGGAAGGCTCTCTGCCCAGGGGGATCGGCTTCTCCTCCTCCTCCTCCTCCTCCGGCTCCCCTTCGAGCCAGGCGCAAAGCGAGAGAAAGGAGGAGGCGATCCAGGAAAGTTTCCCCGGAGAAAGAGGAGGAGGAGGAGGAGATGGGAGGGGCGGCTCCAGAGAGGAGGGGCGGGGCCTCGCGGTGGGGAAAGAGACCCAGGAGCCCAGGAAGGGGGACCCAAGAGTCATCCAGCCCAACCCCATCCTTCCAGGCAGGCAAGAAGGCACCACCCAAGCCCTCCCCACAGATGGACAGCCAGCCTCTGCTCCAGAAACCTCCAGTCTTGGAAAGGCAACCCAAGGGGCATCTAGCCCAACCCCACCTTTCTTGGCAAGAAGGCACCATCCAAGCCCTCCCCACAGATGGCCAGCCAGCAAACCTCCAGACTCTCAGGCAATCTATATTATGCCAGAGATGGAAAGGCACCTCAAGGGTCATCCAGACCAACCCACTCCTTCCAGGAAGGCAAGAAGGCACCATCCAAGCCCTCCCTACAGATGGCCAGCCAGCCAGCCTCTGTTCCAGAAACCTCCAGACTTGGAAAGGCAACCCAAGGGGCATCTAGCCCAACCCCAACTTTCCTGGCAAGAAGGCACCATCCAAGCCCTCCCCACAGATGGCCGGCCAGCCAGCCTCTGCTCCAGAAACCTCCAGACTTGGAAAGGCAACCCAAGGGGCATCCTAGCCCAACCCCACCTTTCCTGGCAAGAAGGCACCACCCAAGCCCTCCCCACAGATGGCCAGCCAGCAAACCTCCAGACTCCCAGGCAATCTATATTATGCCAGAGATGGAAAGACACCTCAAGGGTAATCCAGACCAACCCCATCCTTCCAGGAAGGCAAGAAGGCACCATCCAAGCCCTCCCTACAGATGTCCAGCCAGCCAGCCTCTGCTCCAGAAACCTCCAGACTTGGAAAGGCAACCCAAGCGGCACCTAGCCCAACCCCAACTTTCCTGGCAAGAAGGCACCATCCAAGCCCTCCCCACAGATGGCCGGCCAGCCAGCCTCTGCTCCAGAAACCTCCAGACTTGGAAAGGCAACCCAAGGGGCATCCTAGCCCAACCCCACCTTTCCTGGCAAGAAGGCACCACCCAAGCCCTCCCCACAGATGGCCAGCCAGCAAACCTCCAGACTCTCAGGCAATCTATATTATGCCAGAGATGGAAAGACACCTCAAGGGTCATACAGACCAACCCACTCCTTCCAGGAAAGCAAGGAGGCACCATCCAAGCCCTCCCTACAGATGTCCAGCCAGCCAGCCTCTGCTCCAGAAACCTCCAGACTTGGAAAGGCAACCCAAGGGGCATCTAGCCCAACCCCACCTTTCCTGGCAAGAAGGCACCACCAAAGCCCTCCTCACAGATGGCCGGCCAGCCAGCCTCTGCTCCAGAAACCTCCAGACTTGGAAAGGCAACCCAAGGGGCATCCTAGCCCAACCCCACCTTTCCTGGCAAGAAGGCACCATCCAAGCCCTCCCCACAGATGGCCAGCCAGCAAACCTCCAGACTCTCAGGCAATCTATATTATGCCAGAGATGGAAAGGCACCTCAAGGGTCATACAGACCAACCCACTCCTTCCAGGAAGGCAAGGAGGCACCATCCAAGCCCGCCCTACAGATGTCCAGCCAGCCAGCCTCTGCTCCAGAAACCTCCAGACTTGGAAAGGCAACCCAAGGGGCATCTAGCCCAACCCCACCTTTCTTGGCAAGAAGGCACCATCCAAGCCCTCCCCACAGATGGCCAGCCAGCCAGCCTCTGCTCCAGAAACCTCCAGACTTGGAAAGGCAACCCAAGGGGCATCCTAGCCCAACCCCACCTTTCCTGGCAAGAAGGCACCATCCAAGCCCTCCCCACAGATGGCCAGCCAGTAAACCTCCATGCTCTCAGGCAATCTATATTATGCCAGAGATGGAAAGGCACCTCAAGGGTTATCCAGACCAACCTATTCCTTCCAGGAAGGCAAGAAGGCACCATCCAAGCCCTCCCTACAGATGTCCAGCCAGCAAACCTCCAGACTCTAAGGCAATCTATATTATGCCAGAGATGGAAAGGCACACCAAGGGGAATCCAGCCCAAACTCATCCTTCCAAGCAAGAAAGCACCATCCAAGCCCTCCCCACAGATGGCCAGCCAGCAAACCTCCAGACTCTAAGGCAATCTAAATTATACCAGAGAAAGGCAACCCCTTCTTTCCAGGCAGGCACCATCCAAGACCTCCCTACAGATGTCCAGCCAGCAAACCTCCAGACTCTAAGGCCATCTAAATTATACCAGAGATGGAAAGGCACCTCAAGGGTCATCCAGCCCAAACCCCTCCTTCCAGGAAGGCAAGGAGGTACCATACAAACCCTCCCCACAGATGGCCAGCCAGCCTCTGCTTGAGAAATCTCCAGACTCTAAGGCAATCTATATTCCTCCAGAGTTGGAAAGGCACCCCAAGGGGCATTCAGCCCCCAACCCCCTCCTTTCAGGCAGGCAAGAAGGCACCACCCTAGCCCTCACCACAGATGGCCGGCCAGCCTCTGCTTCAGAAACCTCCACACTCTATTATTATTATTAATATTAAACTTTATTTATACCCCGCTACCATCTCCCCAAGGGATTCGGTGCGGCTTACATGAGGCCGAGCCCACAATACATCAATACAAGCAATAACAACAACAGTAAAACAAATTAAATAAAACTCATAACAAAAAAGCAATATACAATGGCAATAATACAACACACAATTAAAATCTATGGCCGGGCCAAATGCAATTAAAGTTAAAAATAATGCTAGGCATGAATAAGGTAGGAGAGATGGGGTGTTAGTGGGAGCGTACAACAATCCTAAATCAATGTAAACTGCATTTGGAGGGCACAATGCTGAGAATTCATTATTCTGGGAAGGCACACTGGAACAACCACGTTTTCAGGCTCCTCCTAAAGACTGCCAGAGTTGGGGCATGCCTGATGTCCTTGGGCCACCACTGAGAAGGCCATCTCCCTCGTCCTCACCAGTCATGCCTGCGATGGAGGTGGGAGCGCAAGGAGGGCCTCTCCAGATGAATGAAGAGATTGTGTGGGTTCGTACACAGAAATGTGGTCACGCAGGTAGGCAGGTCCCAAACCGTTCAGGGCTTTGTAGGTAAGAACCTGCACCTTGAATTGGGACCGGAAAAATGAATGGCAGCTAGTGGAGCTCCTTAAACAGGAGGGTTTCTCAACCTTCCTAATGTCGGGACCCCTTAATACAGTTTCTCATGTTATGGTGACCCCCAACCATAAAATTATTTTCATTGCGACTGCATAACTGTAATTTTGCTACTATGGTGTAAAGATCTGATATGCAGGATGTATTTTCATTCACTAAACCAAATTTTGCACAAATACCTTATACACCCAAATTTGAATAGTGGTGGGGTTGGGGGTGATTGATTTTGTCATTTGGGAGTTGTAGTTTCTGAGATTTATAGTTCACATACAATCAAAGAGCATTCTGAACTCCCCCAACAATGCAATTGAACCAAACTTGGTACACAGAACTTCCATGACCAACAGAAAATACTGGAAGGGTTTGGTGGGCATTGACCTTAGGTTTGGGAGTTGTAGTTCACCTACATCCAGAGAGCACTGGATGATGGAACAATGATGGAAGTTTGAGAGGAAAGGGCCTGAGGCTGTTAGGAATTGTGGGAGTTGCAGTCCAAAACACCTGGAGGGCTGAAGTTGACCCAGACCAGGTCTATCAAAAGAGGAACCATATCTCAGTAGCACCCTCCCCACACAAATTCCTGAAAAATGACAATATTGAAAGAGGTATTCTTGAGAGCTGCTCTCTAGCTTCCGAGTATGTTTTTGTCTTCTCAGCCATAACCCTAAATGATCTTAAGCCAGGAGGCCTTTTGCGTATCCGTATGTCCAAGGGATAAGTCCGGTGAAGGTCTTTAACAGCCGATTTGTCTTTTTAACTATGTCCTGATTAGATATTTTTGAGTGTTCTTCCTCTTGCAAGGCATCAGGCTTGAAGTGGATATTGGACTTTAGTTGGCAGGGCATCGGCTGACTCCTCCAGTTCACAATGCATTTGTTGGTCATTGTTGTGCACCAATGGGGACCCTAAGCAGCATTTATCAATGGGGGAGGGGATTGGGACCCCTGGAGGGGGTCACAGGGGGGGGTGTCAGAGGAGTCACCAAAGACCATAAGAAAACAGTATTTTTTGTTGGTCATGGGGGTTCTGTGTGGAAAGTTTGGCTCAATTCTATCATTGGTGGGGTTCAGAATGCTCTTTGATTTCAGGTGAACTATAAATCCCAGCAACTACAACTCCCAAATAACAAGGTCTATTTTACCTTATATTTACATTTATAGAGTATTCATGCCAAGTATGGACCAGGTCCATCATTGTTTGAGTCCACAATGCTCTCTGGATGTAGGTGAACTACAACTCCAAAACTCAAGGTCAATGCCCACCAAACCCTTCCAGTATTTTCTGTTAGTCATGGAAGTTCTGTGTACCAAGTTTGGTTCAATTGCATTGTTTGTGGAGTTCAGAATGCTCTTTGATTGTAGGTGAACTATAAATCCCAGCAACTAAAAATGACAAAATCATAAATCCCAAATGGCAAAATCAATCCCTCCCCCCCAAACCCCACCAGTATTCACATTTGGGCGTGTCGGGTATTTGTGCCAAATTTGGTCCAGTAAATCAAAATACATCCTGCATATCAGATATTTACATTACAATTCATAACAGTAGCAAAATTACAGTTATGAAGTAGCAACAAAAATAATTTTATTGTTGGGGGGTCACCACAACATGAGGAACTGTATTAAGGGGGTGCGACATTGGGAAGGTTGAGAAACACCAAAGCAAACTTCTCTTGGGTTTTTCGGGGGCTGAGAGAGTACAACTTACCCACGATCACCCAATGGATTTGCTTGGTTGAGCGAGGATTTGAACCCTTTTATTCAAAGCCAAAAGCTCAAACTACTACTCTGCTTGCAAGTGCATTGTGTTTAATTCTGTTGGAGGCAGAAAACTATGGTGCCTATCCATTTGCAAAGAAGGGCCCATTTCTTCTGTGCACATGTGCAGGTTGCAT